ACAGCAGATTTGCCTAAGGATTGAGTTTGAGTTCTTTACTGCTGCTTTCATGAGTGTTGATGGTTGATCTAAGCAAAAGGAAGTCTTGGACAACTTCAATCTTTTCTCCATTTATGTGGATGTTGTTTAATGGTCCAGTGGTGAAGATGTTTTCTTTACACTGAGGTGCAACCCATTCTAAAGGCTGTGGTCTTTGGTTTTAATCAGTAAGTATTTTAAGTCCTGTTTGCTTTCAGCAAGCAGAGCTGTGTCATCTGCATATCGCAGGATGTTAATGAATCTTCCTCTAATCCTAATGCAACATTCTTCTTCTTGTAAAACAGCTTCTTGAATTATCTGCTCAGCATACAGATTGAATAAGTATGGTGAAAGAATACAACCCTGGTACACACCTTTCCTGATTTTAAACCATTCAATATTCCCGTGTTCTGTTTGAATAATTGCCTCTTGGTCCAGGTACAGATTCCTCATGAGCACCATTAAGTGTTCCAGACTACTCATACTTCACAATGTTGTTCACAGCTTGTCATGATGCACACAATGGAAAACCTTTGCAGTCTTTCTATTGTTTGGCTGAAGATGGAGCCACAAGGGGCGAGTTCAGTTCCAGACCTGGAGGGTAATTAAGGGACATTGTCTCGGGATTCTCTCATTCTCTATCCTACCAGTTTTTTGTTTTTTAATCCTTTTGTGTTTTATACCACATTTTTCTCCCACTCTATTCAGAACCTTCTACTGTGATCTCCTACAGAGCAGTTGGTAGTGGTAGAAGGTCACCATCTAGTTCATCTGGTCTTAGGGTCATGGAGGCTGATGTTCAAGTGTTCCATGAGTCCACTGGAGTAATTGTTTCCAGGCATCTTTGATTTTTATCGCTTTGACTCAGGACAGGGAGAGACCAATAGTTGCACCTTAGATGGGTGTTGAGTAGTTTTTAAGACCCCAGAGGAACTGCTTCTTTCTGTGCACATATGGTAGGCCTAGGTGTCATTGTGTTGTGTTATATTTTTGGAGGGAGAACGGAGCTCAAGGAGAAAGGAGAAAAAAATTAGAAAGTGGAGAATGGAAAAACAACTACCAATTATATATGAGTGTAGGTTAAGCAGGTTAGTGGTGTGGTGGGGGTTGGGGCTTGATCTTAATTTTAAAAAAGTATTGAGGTAATTCTGTTATGCATCCAGGGTAGAAACCTATAGCTGTTGACTGCCCTAGAAATAGAGCTGGCAAAACAGACGATGTGAAGTGTCTTCTTTTTTGGGTAGATTCTGTGTCCTTATAGTCAAGAGTACTAGTTTTTAAATTTGCAATTGGATTCTAATCCCCGTGCTACAACTTTTTATCTGTGAACCTTAGATGGCTTTCCTAACTTTTCAGGGCTTTAATTTCTTTACCTATAAAACATGGGGTACAGTGCTATTGGAAGGAACTCTGATAACATCGTGGATTATGAGTTGGGCTGCTAATTGAAAGGTCAGCAGTTTGAAACTACCAGCTGCTCAGAGAAAGATGGATGCTTTCTGTTTTCATAAAGATTTACAGCCTCGGAAACCATATACAGGGTCCCTATGAATCGGAAAGAATCCACAACACATTA